GGCTCCATTGAGCTTGGCCTAGGACCGTGTGAGTGACAACCCAGAAGTGAACACAGAATTGCCACTTCCTTCTGAAGCTTGCCTGCCTTCCTGAAGCAAACTGCCCTGTGGACTCTTTCTTCTTGTGGGCGAGTTCTTCCCAGAGGCACCTTCATCTCTTATATGAACAGGCCTAAGAAAGTGCCTAGACTTTCCTGAATTTGGGAGTGAACAGAGTTTAGGTTTAAACAGGAACTTTTGCTACCTACAATATTTCCTCAGTATCTAGACCAAACATAAGCCTAGCAGGGTCTGATGGTCTAGACTTACACTAATATGACATGATATATCTAATATGATAGCTGTTGGCCACATGTGGTTATTTAAAGTTAAATTAATTAAACTTAAAAAAATAAAATAAAATTCAGATCCTCAGTGACACTAGCCACATTATAAGTGCTTAATAGCCACATGTGGCTGGTGGCTACCATATTGGACAGTGCAGATAACAGAACCTCTCCAACACCACAGATGATTTTATTGGACAGCCCCGTGTCTAGGGCCAGAACCCATAAAATAGATTCTGTTATCCAGGATCTGGCTATTATGTATAAACATGAAAACTATCCACTCAGTATAAACACCCATGGATTAGGAACAAAGGTCAGCAGACAAGGCAAAAAATAGCTCAATGTCAAAATTTCCCTTGAAAAATCACTTAGGAAGGGGTCACTTTGGAGACTAGCTTTCAGTTAATGCAGCATTGCAGTTTTTTATTCAGCATTGGAGCAGATCTTTCTTTTTTGGTTGAGCACCAAAAGATTTGGTTGGTACTTAGGAGCAATGCACAGGACATATCAAGGGTGTCTTTAAGCACTGGTATGGTGCTGCAGGGAGAGAGAAGGTTCACCTATGAGAGACCCAGGTAACAAGATCAATTGAAGGCACATCTGCATCATATACCTATTCTCAGGCTTTCTGCTTTCTTGATGGGATAGCAGGTGGAATTGTCCACCATGTTTAGTGGTTCTTTTCTGTATATACCTGGTGCTTTTTGTTTTGTTTTGTGTTTTAGTGCCAAATGTGTGGAGCTGTAGTTCTGAACATTAAATGTGTTTACGATACAGCTTCCCCACAGATATTCCATGAAGCAGTCCTTTCTTTGTTCAGAGCTTCATTAAAGGAAAGGTCTCCTCTCTACCATAGACCCATGTATTTTGTAATTAAAGAACACCAAGTTCCTCCTTGAACTCTTCCTTTGGGAGGCCAGAATTTCAGCTATGTCACTGAGCTTTGGAAAACACCACACTGGCCCCTCAGATCGAACTCGAAGTTGGGGCATTTTAGTGTAGCACAAGGGTGCAAAGGGATTTCGGGCCCTTAGGAGCCCAGCTGTAGTTCTTTAGACCTAGACACCCTCCTGGGTCACCCCAGTGAACAACAAGCTCTGTCTTCTGGAACTCTGGTAACATGCAATGTTCTGCCCACTTAGGCTGGCCCTACTTATTGACATTCATCTTTATGTATATTTTATATGTATATGACCTGTCTTTCCAGTTAGGTCATAATTCTTCAAGGGCAGCTGGCATATGTCTTTTACCTCTTTTTATAATCCACAGTTTCTAATATTGTGCCTTCATATAAAAGTGCTCCATCATGTCTAGCTTCAGTTGAAAGAAATTCTCTCATAGGAGACAAGAACTGTGGGCATGAACTAACTATATAGACATGCTTTAAGAGCACAATCTATATTTTAAAAAGCCAATATTTGTTCTTTCAACTTAGCAAGCTGAATTTTAAAAATCATTTACTTAATTTTGAAGTTGCAAAGGATTGCAAGGGGACCCTCAAGTCAGGAATTTACATTTACAGAAGCAAAGAGAATGTTAGTTGCCTTAAAAAAAAGCAAACTGTGAGGTAACCCCAATATTTGACTTTAACAGAGGCTTATGAGAGCAGGTCTATTTCCAACCTTCTCAGAGAGACTGTGGCCTTATGCTCCAGTGTGTCTGAGTTTTTTATTTGAGGATTTAAAAATGCGGGATAAATGGTTAATTAGAATCTTAGAGTAAGAGACCACAATACTCTATGAAGATTCTCATTAAAAAAGTTTTTGATAGTTTATCATTTTGTGCATATTTTACTTGTTCACTTTTAAAAATAACATCAAAAGTAATTTTATCGCATTTTTATTAAAAATTAGAAACTCATGCTTTCTAATACTGGAACAGCTATCATAATTTAGAGTAAAAAAAACTCATAAGGCTTTTAAAAACACCATTCTAAATATTGCCTAATACACCGCTAATTTTGGCTGGAATTTAAAATGAATTCAACGATATTCTGATGGATTAGACAGTCTCAGGATTAGCACTTTTATTTCTGTTTCTTTACAAAATTGTGAGGATTATTATAGAAATTGGAATTGTTACCAGTCTAAAGTCCACGTGCTCAATGCTTCGAAAGGCCAAAACTCAAAACATCAGGGTTCGGAGTAAGGAAAGATTTATTGATCAAGAAGGTGCTAATCTGAGGAGAGGGGGGCCCTAGTAGTATCTCAAAGTCATCTTATAAAGTGCAGAGTTCCGGCGTCTTTTATGCCAAGGGAAGGGAAAATGGGAGGGGCTGTTTGTTTAAAAACTCAAGGCCCAAGCAGAATTCCTCTAATGAACAGCTTGTCTAAAGCAGGAGCTGTTAGCTGAAGGCCATGGAAACCCGCAGACTTGAACAAGATGGAGTCAGAGAGATGCAGTATTTCACTCTATTACAGTATCATGATTATTTTAACTCTAGCCTTATCAGCTGTAAGAAATGTTTTACTCCTATACATGTTGTCACCTCTGAGTCTCCAAACACAGTGTCACAAGTGTCATGTACCACCAGAAGCAAATGAGTAACTAACTGAAATGTTCATCAAGAAGGAAAGCAGGCTTCTCCCAGAAACTCCATCTTTCTCGGAGCATCCACATGATTTTTTTTTTTTTGGCAGAGCAGGACACCCCAGGGTTGAAATAAAGTTTTCACAGAAAGATAGCCACAGATCAGAATTCACAGCCCCACACGATTCAACAGCTTGATTCAGTGAATGTTCATGGAATTCCTGAAGGCAGAGCTGCTTAATTTGGGATCCAGGACCACCCACACCATCCAGGAAGTTTCTTAAAAAATATAAATTCCTGAGACCTGCTCCAGACCTAATAAAACAGAATCTTCCGGGGGTGAGGCTGGACTTCTGCTCTATAAGGAGGCTTTCTGGGTGATTCTTAAGCACGCTAAAGTTTAAACCAGAGACCTTTGTCTGTTTTACTCATTGATGTATTCGGATGCCTGGAATAGCAATTGATACAGTTCAGTAAATACCTGTTGAGAGAATGCCCTAAGTGACTGAGGCACTTGGAGGCTCCAATTATGAATATCTTCCACACTATCTTATCTAAAATGCTGCCATAAAACAGGTAAATGTTGAAAGGGACCAAAGTTTTGCCATCCCAAAATATGACTTTTGGGATACTTATTTTAAGCTGGTTATTAAGAAACAAAAGACTCATAAAGAACCTTGACCTTCCCCCTTACCTGCCTAAAAGAATTCAGATGGAAAAATCTGTTTAAAGGAAAAGCACCTTAGCATCTCAATATAAACTAAATGCAGCATACAGGGAGAAATCTAGCAAAGTCTGTTGGTTGAACTTCCTTCTGTGTCCTATTGTTTCTGGGTGGCCCAGAAAGAATTTGTTTACATGTTTGCTCTTTCTTGTCTACCTGTAAATTACCTGCTTTCCATTTGAAATCCCAGACCCACCTCCCTCTCCTTTGTTCAAAGAGCATATATTCCTCAATCACCCAATGCATCTTCGGGTCTCATATTCTAACAGCAACCCCCTGCATGTACATTCATAGTAAATTTTGGACATGTTCTCCTGTTAATCTGTCTCATGTGAATTTGATTATTAGCCCAGCTAGAAGAATTTAGAAGATGGAAGGAAAAATTATTTTCTGCACCCCCCACAAATGTCCTATCCCCCAAGAGACCTTCTTAGCTAGGCTGGGGGGCAGGGGAAGCTCTCCTATCTCTGCCTACCAGCTTCAGCACATTGTCCCCACCTTAACGGCTTCTCCCTGCCTATACTTAACTGCCAAGGCTGTGACATAGAGGCCCAACAAAGGGATTAATAAAACAAATTAAGGTATTAAGTAGGACCCTAAATCCAGCATGTGAGTAAAAATACCTCTCTGCTCACCACCATAACTAAAGCTATGCGAACTTCTAAAAGACATAGTTTTACTTGTAGGCAGAACAGCCAGGGGATCACATTTCCTTTCTAATCATTAAAACCACAGGAAAGAGAAGGCGAGAGAAATGTAATCCTGCTTGTGTATATACATTGTGCTAAGACTGCATTTATGATTTAAGAGGCATCCTTAATAGGTGAAAGGATAAAGAAACTGGTAGATCTACACAACAGAATACTACTTAGTAATACGAAGGAAAATTACTGATACACACAGGAATCTCAAATGCATCATGCAAATGGAAAAAGGCAGCCTCAAAAGAGGCAACTTCACTGCAGGATCCTCTTTATATGACACCCAGAAAAAGGCAAAACTATAGGGAAGGAGAATGGATCCGTGACTGCCTGATTAGGGTTAGGAGTAGGGAACAAGTTTAACTACAAGAGAATGTTAGGGGTTGATGAAACAATTCCGTATCCTGATTGAGTTGGTAGTTACAAGAACCTATCTATGCAAGTGTTAAAAATCAGAGAACTGTACTCCCCAAAGCTAGTGAATTTACTGTATGTAGATTATATTTAAAAAGAACCCATTGTATACTCAACAAACTCATTAGGTCTCTGAGAGCCCTGAGACAATTTCCTTCCCTTGATCAATTTATCAATGTGGGACGCAAAGGAACACACGGTCTTGGAGTATGAGTGTGAAAGTATGGAAACATTGCTACACCTTATGGTCTGTGCTGTGTCATCATACCTGGTGCCAAATTCAGCGTGTTAGCAACTGGAAACCATTTTGTAGAAAATTCCTTTATTATAGTGCAAATAACTTTCAGCAGTGACATAATAATGTAAGAACACATTTAGCACATTTTACACCACACAGTAAATAAGAAAGTGTTTCTTTGAAAATATCTCATCAGAGGAACATTATTTCTACATGAATGCCAGAAAATGCCAAGGCTGTTTCTCTCAAGGCAACAGGGCTTCCTCCCTCTTTCTGGATATTTTCTTTTTAATACAAATGAAAGGATTTGCCATTTTAACAAATCACCATCAATTCTAAGAGTGATCTGTTAGGGGGTTTTGAGCTGAGGTTGGCAATATCTGAAATGGAGTTTCAAATTTAAAAAAATAATGATTTTAAGACAATTCTGGGATAGCCCAGGAAGAAGTCACTTCTATTAACTTTTAAGTAGATATACACACTCATTCCAATTTTGATGCAGAAATGGACAGATTGTCTAAAGCCTGCCTTTTATTCCCCCAGAGCCTGATTGTTAGTTATACTCCTTGGTTTTGGTCATATTGCAAAATGAGGGCTCTGGTCAGAAATAACTCCTTACATACCCAAACGCTTTCCTGTGAAGCTTTAAATTGCACTTTAGATCCTGAATTCCCACCTTAGACCTCATGCCTGAGAGGATGTGAACATTGTTTCCGGTTTGTAGCTAACAAATAGTACAGTTAGATTCGGCCCCGCTAATTTAGCGATATCTAAATCAAACCATCACATTATTTAGATTAATTCCAATAGGCTTAACCAAGAGGTTTCCACTGACCTCACAGAGAAATGAAGAGTTAACACTAAGCTACCTAAAGTCTTGGCTGCTAACCAGTTAGCTGATAGGTAGAGAGTACGGAGTGTCAATTCCAATCAGTTATACTCCCAGCTCCTCTAGTTTCTGCTGAATTATGCAGTGGGTTGGAATGGATGGCCTCTCAAAGGAAACCTCCTCTGAGGGACTTCCACCATAAGTAGAATCGAAACCCCTACAAATATGTTTCTGGGTGCCCTCTAAGTCTCTCTACAAACACTCCTCAAAATCTAGTGGCTTTACAAGTCATGAGAAGTTAATCACAGGCTTGAAAATACCTGGAGCCACAGAAGAGCCCTCTTGACTGAATATGGCTGATTAAGTCAGCTGGTCCATAAAGCTTTTCAATGCTCAGTCTTGTTGGATAAAGCATCTTCTTATATAACACAATGGAACTGTGCTAAACAGTTTCAAAGTTGAGAAGAATCCAAATATATCACCTATAAAAAATTCACAATTTTAGTTTGCCTCTTCTTAGACTTTGGTACTGAAACACTGTCTATAATCTCGACACGTGTAAATGACGTGGCCACTTCAGTGCCTCTGCATGTTGTGTAAAAAAACTCAAAAGCAAAGCAGGACAAGGACATGTCATAACAAGACATGGTATGCTACACAAATAAAACCTAAATTATATATAAATACACCCCCACCCAGTACCCCATTTCCCCCTACCCTATACTACCTGACCAAAGCAATGACAAGGGTCTTTCTCTCCAGGACCAATGCAATTTGGGAAGTCCAGCACCCAGGGCTCCACTTATCCCTTGCCTCTCAGTGACATTTACACTGGTGCAGGCTCCTCCTAGAGACACTCTGCTGTCTGATCAGTTCCACAAGTGCAGGGAAACTCCTACAGCTTAATTAGAAGCATTCACTCAAAGACCTGGAGTTCTGGGAGTTAACCTTTCAGAAAAACTAATTGGATCATTTCCTAATCTGGATCCTGTCTTATCCTAGTATCTCAGCAGAACCAACAAAGTAGGAAGCATCCTATACTCTGAAGTTGCAAAGGCATTGCTTAGGGATACTGGTGAGGGTCACATAATAAAAGTGATACAATGAATGGAATAGCTTAAGATGATATAAATTATCTGCAAGTAGCTATTTGGGGACATTTGCTTCTACTTTACATTACATTCCAGAATTAATTTCATATTATACTCTTAAAAGTTTATATAATAGTCATTTAAAAGTTGTCTATGCAATCACCTCTTATATGTTGTCAATTAGTTTAATAGCAATTTAATGAGCTATTATGTAAATCTAAGAAAAAGTAGCTAGTCAGTCCTAAGGAAGCCAATACTGTGCTAATTCACAGTAAGGAGAAAAAGCAATGTAAACAGAATTTTACATAATTGTCAATAACTTGAAAAGCAGTTTTATCGAAATGTTGCAAAGTCTTCCCAAAAGCACTTACAGCAATTTATATCAAGAGATTTGAAGTTTAGGGGTCTGGATATGACTCAATTTTTTAAGGTAGAAATTCGCCTGTTTCATGGCTGTAATATGTACTTTCCCCCTCATAAGATATTCGTACATTCAAAAGTTCATAACTTGCTGTTTTTGAGACATTAATCATTCTCTAATACATACACTGAGTATAAATAAATATGAGAAAGCTTTAAAATCTGAATTAACATTATGCTGTGCAACCGCCCCCCCAAAAACAAAAACCACCAAACAAACTTTGAACAATCTATATTCTATATAAGTACCCTGACTAAAATGTTGGTTGTGCTACGCAATTCTACTTCAGTGCAGAAATGAGTTGATTTCAGTGTATAATCTTTGTTGTTGCTGTTTTAAATCTTTAGCACTTTTGTTTCTAAACATCACCTTGCTTTGAAAAGATGAATAACTTGCTACCAAATCACAAATCATCACAAATGCATTTCGGTTTAGTCTGAATAAAATCCAGCATAAATGTATTACTTTGTTCTAGGAATAATGGCTCGGTGTCTTTGTTCCGACAGCTTCCTAAGGGCAAACCATGGTTGAAGTTGTCATTTTGAGTTTAAACTGCACAGAAAGAAGAGACTGTGAAGCTTGCCTTTTGTTTGTTTTCTTTTTAAGTCTTCAGATCTTGCTAAGACACTTCTTCCAGACCCATAGTTGTGGCACCTGATCCTACTTGAAATAGAGGTGGTTTAAACAACATCAGCCAAGCTTAGTGATCTGGAGGTCCCCGTTTATCTTTATGGTGTCAATTGCAGATAACGTTTGAATGCGATGGTAAAAATCAAAAAGTTGGTGTCCATCCACAAACACTCTGAAACGTGGGTGCTCGCAGAGAATTTCCACCTGGAAGAAACAAAATAATAATCTTAGTTCACAATTTCAATGAACCCTACTGGGGAAAACAAACAATACTTCATTTTAGAGAGAGAAAAGAGACATCTTTAGTGGCTCCCACATGTTGGAATGCACTGGCATCATACAGAAGCCTTGTTAGAACACAGATGCTTGGCTTCATATCCAAATTTTTCAACTTAGTAGGTCTAAGGTGAAGTCTAAGAACCTGCATTCCCACCAAGTTCCAAAGTGATGCTGCTGTTGCTGGAATGAGGAAATCACTTTGTGAATCATCGCTCTATACTACTCAATATCCTTTAGATTTAAAATTGCTTATGCATGCACCCTAGAAAGTGATGTAAAGTAGCATAGATTTGTTTATATGGCATTTAATGCTTCCATTGTCATCCCTGCACAATTCTATCTCACCTTTAGAGGAGCCCCTCACAAGGCAGAACTGGTACCAATTAGTAGCATATAATAATAGTCTAGACACTCATACCTGGTAAACACTAAAGCAGAGAGAAGGTTACACAGTAATTACCATTGGACCAAGGATATGTAATTAACAAGGCTTTGTTACGCCAAACAGAAATACCATATGGTAAAAGCTTTTTCTTCCTCTTTTTCTTAAGTAATTCACCATTGAGTTTAATCACTAGTTCTATGCTATGTATTTATTAAAAGCATTGGTATTCACCATGCGAGAAGACTCCATATGTGATATTAGTCACATTTAATTCATATAATTACTAAAATTATTATCACCAAGAAGGGCCAACTTCATTTCAATTTTGTTGTTAGGGAGCATTATACTCCTTTTGGCAGTCAGAAGCTCTGGTTACTCACACTCATGAGCTATGCATTGAGATTCACAACAGTCCTAGTAGAAGGGAGCCTAAGGGGCCATTACCATCCTTACCACCCTAGAGGAGGAGGGTAGGGAAATTGGGTAGGGGTGCCTTCTCCAGACTATGATTAGAAGGGCAACAATCTCAATTCTATCACTGATGTGAAAAGTCATGGATTCTTACTTTTCCCCCAGACTGTAAAGTGGGAAGAAAAATAATTATTACTTCATACGGCTCTTGTAAATTTCTAGACGAAGAGCAACAGGTAAAGGGTAGCTCTGCTTTATTAAGTGTACATGCAACATGGATGAGTTGTCACTATTGTGATTTTTGTTAAAAAGGTATAATGCAGACAACTTTATCAGCAAGTCTGACATTTTAGTAAATCCTTTCCTAACACATTACTGACTTGCATTTCTTGGCATTGGCCTTCACAAAAGTATTGCTAATGCTGCTTAATTAGATGGGAAGTTTGTGCTGTGCTTCCTGCCCAATAGATAGTGGGAGCAAATCTATACTCATTCAGGTCCAAGGGAAGGAATTTGTCAGCCACACAGTTGACTTAACCCAGAGGAGAAAACAAGGATATGGCCAGGCCTCATTAGCAAAGGAGACAAGAGAAAATGAAATGATAATTACTATATTCTTTAAAAAGTTATACCTAATAAGATTTATTGCTATGTAAAGTTTGAGCAAAAAAGGAGGAAAATTCATATTTATTAATCAATCAGTTATTTTGGGATAGGTATCTATTATAAGCCTAGTACTGTGTTGAGTACTACAAAGTACTTATTCTTAACAATATGAACATGTCAATACAGATTTATCTTCTAAATAAATCCACTAAATAGAGCCAAGAGCTATCATAGCAAATATTAATTCATATCATAAACATAGATCTTCTTTTTTTTTTCATCATCATCTGACAAATTTCCTGGACATACAAAAATTCTGGCTGCTTAAAGCGTTCTTGGCACACACTACAGGAGCAGAACAACATCACCCTGCCAGGGGTTGGAGCCGAAGCACTCGAGGTACTCACCCTGAATGGCTGGTCTGGGATGAATGGAAAGTAAGGGATTGCTGACTGTTCTTCACCCTTTTGACCAGATACACAAGAATTTCTGAGGAGCTGCCGATCTGTGAACACAGCTCTGAGTTCAATTGCCACATCAGCAGGAGGATCTTCCGAGTCACCACAGGTCAAGCTGATAGCAAAGCTGATAAAGAAATTGTCTCGTTTATTCAGGGTTGGATATAAAACAGCATTTAACGATGACCCAGGCTCCCATATTTTCTCCTTCTTCTTGGGGTTTGTGTGCTTTTAATGGGACATTCATTACTCTTTAAACAGGTTAGCTTATTTATGGAGAAGTAATATTACAATCAAACCAGTTATTTTGTTACCTAAAGGAGGTTCTGGTGGAGTTGAAAATGACTAACATTAGGGATTTCAGATACCCAAAGCCATCCACACATCTGTGTCTTAATTCATTTCCGAATCCTCAAAAAACAGCCCCAGAAATTGACCAGGGAAAATAATATCCTGCAAAGTTTGATTCTCCTTCATATTGACAGTTCTCGCTCTAAGCACCATATTTAAAAGCCATTAAAAAAAAAAACAACAAAAACCTTTGGCCTCCCTAAGGGTCAAAGAGAAAATGATGTGGGCCTATATTTATAATCTCTGATATAAATAGCTGTCTGGAGAAATGATGGCTGGGATTCATACGCATTCTTTTCATGGGAACATGGTACTTTCTTGGCACTTCCAACTAGCAACACTGGCCACAGAGAGAGAACAAACAGGAGTGGGCAGGGCCTTTTCACTGCCTGACAGGTCTTTGGGTGAGGAGGACCCTGGCTTACCTCTCCGGGTTGACATCAACGATGCCCATTACTAACACCTTCTTGCCTGGTCTCATGCCACCTTTAATGTGCCCACAAAATGGAACTACCTGCAAAGGATGAGAGGAGAAGTTTACCGCCTGTCAGGGAATAGCCAAACCCTCAGATCCTAAGGACCTGACCCATTAGAAAATGCAATTAGAAAGGAAAAGGGTACAGGCAGGGACACAGAGCACAGAACAAAATCAAGTTACCAGTCGTGGGAAGTACACGTCGGCTTGAACTGGAGAGCCCAAGGAGTTGTTTAAATGTCCATCATCTAGTTTCTAAAAATAGAAGCACACAGATTGGCTTTCCAAAAGCTCTAGTTTGGGGAGTTGGGTGGGGAGTAAGGGAGGGAGCCGGGAAGAATCTACACAAATCCGGCAGCCCTCACAGAACACAAGCATCGTCTGCAGATGCTGCCGTCTCACAGTCCACTGAATAACCGCATTAACCCCCGGAACAAAACCCGTTCTTTCCACCCGGTAGCTAAGCCTCTGAAGATCCCCAGACTCGTCAGACCTAGATCAAAATCAAGGTCAAGGAACACCGGGGAGCCAGAGCCCCGAGCCGGAGTAAGTCAGGCCCCTCTCCAACCGCAAACGCCTCTGGACCCGGGGTCGCCCAGGCCTGTCCTTCGGGACGTGGCTGGAGTGGAGTGGCCGCGCTCAACTTCTCTCGGGAACCGCCGGCACGGACCCGTTTCCAAGGGGGAATCCCCGGGACGTCGGAGGCGGGCGCGGGGCGCGCGCCGGGACACACTCACACACGCACACCCTCACACGTGCAACGTGCATACATACACCTGGCCAGAGGCTGCAAGGCACGGAGGGGGCTGGCGGTCACCTCGCGCCGCTGTCCGCCCCAAACACCCCACCCCCAGGCCAGCGGC